GTCCTAAATCTGCTCAAGTCTTTGCACTGTCCTAAAACTGTACTTAGCTCTCCAGGTAACTGGAAATAAGGATGTACCAGTTGAGCAATTTTATTTTTGAATTTTGATACTTTTGCTATGTGATAAATGGTAATTTGTCATGCTCTATAGTGGGAAGAACCACCACACCCTTGAAAATGCTACGTTTAGAGAAACTGAAAGAATAATTTGCACTCAACGAGAATAGCTCTCCAAGAGTGACAGGGCAGGCTCTCTTTTACACTAATAATGATCTGAAACTGAAATGCCATTTTTACTGCTGAGAATCATTTAGCCAAGGTGCTAGCAGTTGGCTCTACCCTTACAGTAGGGGTTACTTATAGCTGGGTAAAAGGGAGAACTGCAGCTCTGAGCCTCACCCATGACCAGCCATATATGGTCCAATACAATCAATACACACATCCCAGTACTAGTCCCAAGTGCAAATGCCGTGTGTCATTATGAAAAAAGGGTCACTGCAGACAAAAGATTGTTTTTCTCCCCTTCAGCAAGCTCTTTTCGTTGCCAAATTCAAGATTGAATTGCTCATTTCATTCAGAGATTTCAAAGAGGACTTCCTGGATACATTCCTTTAAAATGCAGGCGCTGCTGAGAATGTATAGTATTTTAAAAAGACATAGTGATTTCCTGGCAGAGAATGTTCAGCATCATCATTTAGTCTGAAAAATCACGAAGTCATTTCTTCCTCTGACAATAAAGATATTTTCCAACACTGCTCAAGATTCCCTGATTCTCCTTTTTTCTTTAGAGCTAGGGTGCTTTTCCACATTCTAGCTTTCTTCCATTTAAAGAGGTCACACTACCTTTAAGCAAAACCATGTTACATAATGTACATTTGTTTCTTTATAACAGGCTTTTTTCCCACTTATATGTTAAAGATAAATAGGATATACACATAAAAATGGAGACTCAGAAAAAAAAAAAAAGAGACCCAGAAACACTGAGGAACTTGTGTAATCAGGTAATAATTAGTAACATTAAGATTTAAACTTAAAGCCAAGAGCCCCACCCCCACCCTGTCCCCTGCAAAGCCTGTGTTCTCTCCAGTTCATTCATCTGTCATGTTTGATGTGCAATGTTAAGATCATATAAACTCAAGTGGCCCCAGGCAAACTCATTTACCTTAATCGACCACATATACTCCCAATCCACTTTGTATCAAATCCATCCCAATCCATTCATAGAATGTCATTTCTTTTAATATAAAGCCTTTTTATTTGAAATGACAAAACCTTGAACATCATAGTAGGCTAGTGCATTCCCTGAGTTTGAACCCCACTGGTATGACCTCGGACAACATACAGGTATCAGTTTCACATATGTAAGCTGGGATAAGGTTTTGTAAGAACAATTCAGATCACCTAGAGAAATACCTGGTGCATCATAAGCTTTCAATAGCTGTTTGTTATTTGTTAGTTTTTGAAACGTATGTTTCTACTTATGCCTATTTACCAAAAATGTATGTTTATTTGCTCTTCTAGTGTGTTCATTAGACTTTGCAATTATGCTTCCCCAATTAAGTTTCAAACCAGAATGGATGGAGCTTAAAGTAGTGAAATAATTTCTGTAAGTTTTGTACTTTTTATAGCATTCACCAGAATTGCCTGCAAAAAGGGGTCCCGGCACTTTTGAGAGAAGTCATTAAGGATTGGTTCTAAACAATCCATTTATTGTTTTGAAAAGGGTAAGATAGTCCTATTGACTTTTTGTAAGGTTCAACTTCTCAAGCCTCTCACTTAAGTGTAACAGGACACTCTTTTAATAAACTACTTACAACTTTTTAGTGCATATGCCTCATTTAGAAAAAAATAAAATAGGAAAGTTTGCTTCTTATTTATCATAATGAACATTTTAAAAATTATAATTACCAACTCTAAAAGTAGTGAAGAGTACAAAATAATAAGTTCCCAATTTCAAAAAGAAGAGTAGTGAAAACTATCTTGCAGAGGGAAAGGTGAATAATTTTAATTTAATTATTAATTATTTAATTTATTTTTTCATCAGTATTTACCCGATGCTAGGAAAAACAAATAGAACAGGGACAAAACTGATAAGGTGTTTGTAAGTCAAAAATGTCGTAAGACTTTCAGTAAAGAATGACTTCTTTATTTTTATAGTGATTTAAAAAATGTATTTCCATCACTTCCTGAGCATGTAGGAAGCCTGGGCTCCATTGCTACCACCACTCCCTAGAGACTATGCCTGTGTGTGTGTGTGTGTGTGTGTGTGTGTGTGTGTGTGTGTATGTGTGTGTGTTTCTAGTTTGTATTTAAAGGCATGAGAAAAAAATGTGTCTGATATATTAAGTAGATAAACCGATAATAAATAAGCAGAAAGCCAGAAGGAAAGATACTAGAAGAAACTATACTAAAATATTAGCATTATTTTTTCAGATAAATAAGTGTACAATTTTAATTTTCTTCTGTATACTTTTTTCTAACCCAAGAAGAGTTACAAAAGAAAAAAAAAGGACAACTTTGTAGGTTGGAGTTGTCAGGGAAAAATCTCTTAAAGTACACACGTTCCGGGGCGGGGGAGAACAGACAGAGAAGGATGTGGCATCACAGGCAAAGGTTCTGAGAAGTAGCACGAAGACAGACTAACACCACTCTAAAAATTTACCCCGCAGTGAAATGCCGGGGAAAAAAAGAAACATAAGAACAGCCGTGGTCCTGAGGAAGCATCTCCCTTGAAGCATGTGTCCACCCGAACTGTGTCTACACACCTGGACTGGAACTGGGCTGTCTTTCTTTCATACACTGACCCCAAGAGCTGCACCAAGCTGTCAGAACACGTTTGCTGGGACCACATGCCTCAAAAGGCTTTTTAGAATTTCTTTTAGAAAACACTAATAATTCAAGAATGCAGCTTTTCCAGGTAGGATTACATTACACAAGTACAGTTCACTTTTCAAATAGAGGAATGTATTTCCGTCTCCTTTCTGGCTGAAATAAAGTGAAAAGAACTTACATCTTTCAGGGGTACTTATTTCTGACCTGTGTGAACCTTTCCAAGGCCTTCGGCGTTTTTATACATTTTGAACTTTTAAATCCAGCTCACTGAAAATACACTCTTCAAGTTTAACCTTTATCCTTCACCAAATGGAGATTTTTCTTCTCCTAGCTCTTGTGCAATGCAGTCTTCTGTCAGGCTGTTTTCTAACCCTCACTCTACATGCGTGTTTCTTACCAAGAAGAGATACAGAATCCTAAAACTCTTGGTTTGTGTTTTCAAGTGACAAGAGATATCTTCATGAGAATAAAAATGTATTAACTCATCAATTCAACAACACTTACTCAGAATCCATGATGAACCAAGTGTGATCCAAAAATAATCCACAGATATATATTAATCTAATGGTGCCGCAAACCTTCTTTATTTTAGTCTTAAGCCTTTTCTAACTACCAGAAACTAAATCTACTGAGAAAGAACAGAGCCAGATTTCAAAATTATTTTTCTCTTGATAGCACTGCAAGGAATAGAAATGTAAACTGAAAGATTCATTTTAGTTCCCTAAAGCTCTGGGAAACCAAAGGAAGTATTTCTTCCATTCCAAAATTGCTCACGTGTGCTTAAGGACAGCATCCATCACCCCATTAAAGATAGCAAGAAGGTTTCCAATTACAAGAGTTTCAATAACTTCAACCAATGAACCACACAGGAGACAAATCAGTCTCAGACAAATTGCCCAAATGAAAAACCTGGTATTTCCTCTGTATAAAACATACTTCAAGAGAAAAATTCAATGTGATTCCTTAATGTGAAATATAAAATTCATGTAATTATATGAATCTTTTAATAAGCAGAATTAAATAACAAACATGACAAATCCACCAGTGGGGATTATCATTTTGGAGTATTATAATGAGGGCACTCAGAACACTGAGGAAGCCAATTTAGCTCTTCCCAGAATTTCACTTCCTGTTTGATCTTCCTAGATCTATGCTATCAGTCCTGTTAAGTGATGCTTGGCATAGTTAAGACACCAAACTTCATGCAGCAACAGATTTGTTTTGTCCTGGGGACTGAATGCATGTGAAGCACATGCTCTGCAACTAAGACATAGCTCCAGGCAATAAAAGACATTTTCACACCATAAAATTAAAGATATGGTTCCACCAACTGTGGGCAAGTCAGTAAGATCATACTTCATCTATTTAAACAGAATGATAAAAACTTAAGAAACCTAAACTATACTTTATTTGAGTTCCCTACATAGCAAAAACAAATTGTCCTTAGACATATTGTCCAGGTTGGAATGAGATAATTTGGAATATTTACTGGAAAGCTCATTGAATTGAGAGATCTTCTAAATGAAGAGTTCAAACAAGGAAAACAAAGACTATAGTTTGAATATGAAAATTTAGTACTAAATTATTATCAATTTATAGTTCTCAAAAACTATTTTTACTAGCCTTTGCTAATTTCCTAAGTTTCCTTGACATTGCACAAATCACCACTTTAATAGTTGTAGAATTCTAAGCACAAAGCATATATGTCACATTTAATAGATGAAAATTAATCTGAGATCCTGCCTAGGAATTTGCCCAGGAGATATGTATGTATGTATGTATGTATGTATGTGTATATATATATATTCCTCCTCCCGACTCCATTACATCAGACTTCATATGGAGACTAAAGATTTTGGAATCAAGACCCCAAATATCTGAGTATCACCTAGTATTGGCCTCAAAAGCCACACAATTATTTTCCAGCACCACAGAACTAACACACATGTGATGTCACCGAACATTCTTATGTGATTCAGTGGAAAGGAAGGATCAAGATCCTAAGCGTACTATAGGCTGCTTCTTCTCCAAGCCACAGATACTGGCCTGCTCTCCCGCTCCACAGAGCAGCCCTCACTAAGGGCACAGAATAGATGTAGGTGTGCTACCTGGAAGCAGATGCTGGCTTTCATGAAAAACTAGTGAACAGGAATATTTAAATATACTTACATGAAGAAGTATTTGCTCCTTCTGTTGATACTGATATTCTAATAGGAGACTCTATAAAACATAAAGATGGAATGAAGTTTTATTGAGTCATGCTACTCAGACTCTTAAATTAAAAATTTGCCAGGCTGGGGTATAGTTTAGTAAAAGTGTGTTAGAATGCAGCAGGACAGCAAAAGCATTTATAAATCACAGGAAGATATACAGAGTTTTCAAAGATTACAATGGTGTACTTCTGTTGTTGAGACTCAAAGCCTTGAAAGAGATGAAAATAGGCGCAACCCATCTGCAAAGATATCCCACACACCAACTGCTAAATGGAGGCCAGAAAAATGCTATTCTGAACAGACCCATACTACTGCAGAGATAAAGAAGTCCACTCAGTCCACTCGAAAGTGTAGGCTTGATTTTGAAAAATATAAAACTATAGTTTTATATAAAATATAAAACTATAGTTTTATATAAAATATAAAACTATAGTTTTATATAAAATATATAAAACTATAGTTTTATATAAAATATAAAACTATAGTTTTATATAAAATATAAAACTATAGAGAACAACCCCACATGCAGAAAGAACAGTCAACTTTCACACAAACCAAAGAAAAAATGAAAGAGTAAAAATATTTCTAGACAACTTGGATCCACATAAACCCTCTGACCAAACATGATGGTGACTATAAAGTTTATACAAGGCTCCCTAGAGCAATTATAATAGGATCAAATAAAACATGCTAAATAAATAAACAACAGTTGGGTTGTATTAGGAGCAAGATTCTGTTAGGTAGGCGTGGCAGGAAAACCAGTACTTCTATACAGATAGAACACAAAATGTAACTCATGCAGAAAAAGACAAGCATGGAATCTAAGGGTTTTAATAAGAAAAAAATCAGAAAGGCTTAGTACCAAAGAAGAACTTAAATTCAACAGCCAGAAACATGTATTAATCATATTTCAAGAAATTCTAAAATCCACCTAAATTCCCATGACAAGCACCATATAAATTTCAAAACTCAGTTTCCTAACAGCATTTACTGCAGTATCAGATCATGAATACATTATCTGAATTACAGAAATGTTTGAATGAAAAATGAAGTTCAGTTCAATAATTCTATATTTCTTGCCTCTCCTTCCTGACCTTCCTTTCTTTTCTCCCTTCCTCTCTCCCTCTTTTCTTCCTTCTTTCTGTCATTTTCCAAGACGAAACACATCCCTTTAGACTCCGGGAGCACCCTAGTCCATGACACACACACACACACACACACACTTACACCTACATCTTAGTAACAACACATTCTAAAGCAGTCTAGGATTCCCAGCTATCTAGCTTTTATAACTGAACAATGACCCTGAAGGGAAGAGCAAATGCTGGAGTAGGTTAGATGGAAACGGCTGTGTTAGGCTGTATGGCTGCCTGTGGCTTTACCAAAGTGCAGACCATAATTAAAGAAATAAACGAAACCAAAACATTAAACAGAGGGTCATGAAAAGATGCCCTGAGCATGAAGTATCTTTTCTTCTACTTCCTGAGAAGCAGCTATAAGACTTAATATTTATCTGAAAAATGAGGGAAAACATCTCATTTCACATTGTTATGATTATAAAATGAAGTGTAAATTGTCTGTAAAATTAAAGATAACATGGAAAAGCAAGTTATTGTTATAGGTACCATGGACTTCAGTTTTCAACCTCCATTCTCCAAAAAATTGCTTCCCAATAAACACTGGCTGGTAAGTTGTGTATGATTCCATTAACTGTACAATTAGAGATTATGAAAAATTTTTAAAAACATAGACTGAGTAAATTGATAGCTCATGGAGAAATCAATGAATTATGGTTAAAAATGGATTAGCAGAATTGGGTTAGTAGTTAATATCTTTCCAAACTATAACTTCTCTCAGCAAATACTATAGGCAAATGAGAAACAGACAAACCAAAACCAAATGCAACAATATTTTAAAAGACATGCTACAATTTCTTGTTTATTTAAATTTAGTGAACCACACCTGTCTGTTAGAATTCTAAGTCATGTCACCTAGTACAGTAGTGGCAAACCTGTGACACATGTGCTGCTGCCTACTGTTTGTTATCACTAAAAGCTGTGAAAGATGCACTATCACTGATCTAGGAAAACATTCTCTTTCTGATGGGCGGGAGAGCACAAGTATCCAAGAGAAAAACCTATGAAGATATAATAACTGAACTTGTATTCTGAAGCCTCCTGTATGCGTCTAATGTCACTAAGCAACATCTTGACGGGTGTCTTTCTCTCAGACCTGAGTCCATACACACAGCAAGAACTATTTTCCCTTAAGTAAAACCCAAAAAGACAGAATGAAGTGAAGAAAAATACTAGAACAGAAAACAGAAGCAGCTGGAATCCCAATGCAGAAGGGGTTCTGATTAGTAGAAGGAGCAGCCAGGAGTTGTGCCTGTTATTCTGGTTAGTACAACTTGTCAAGCTTCCTTTCCTTACCTGAAGATACATATGCTCGTTCAGTGGAGGCTGGCATGCCAGTGATGACCTCTGCAAAAATAGAAAAATTGATAAGATTTTATGATGTAGAATCAGGAGGCCAGGAGCCAGGACCCGAGACTGCTTCCAACTGCAAAAGAGTGCAAAGGATCTAGAAAGTACTGTAAGGAAATGGGGGGAGGCCCCACATCAGCCAAAGGGGCAGCGAGAAAAGCAGAGAAGACTGCCCAAATAAATAGTTCTTCTTTCTTCAGAGAGGCCAAGATGAATAATCAGGAAGAATTCACCACACCCACTGGGTCAGTGGGGCAGACTCAATGGCCAACAGGCAGCCGGCCCAGTAAGGACGGTGAAATAGGGAAACTAAGAGAGTCAAATCTGCAAGGCAGAATTTTGAAATTACAGATCTTTGGACATTACATTTTTGTTCAAAAAGAAAGTAATGCTTCCAGCTGGGATTGGTGAAAACCATCAAACTCTGACATGGAATTCTACCTAAAATTAACAATGGTAAGCGAGGTACCTGCTATATCACATGACAAGTTACCCTGGCCTGGGCAGAGAGGAAGTGGGAAACTCTCATCGCAGAGGAATAAAAGATAAACCTGCACAACTGGAACAAACCATTATCCAAAGAATTGTGACAGTCCCAACTGACACTTTCAACTTGTCTTCTTATTGTCTTTGTAAGAGAATCAAAGGTAGTTACACTATCTAATTTCAAGTTCAGTCCCAGTAAAAGGGTTTATGTTTGTTAGAATCTATGTTTATTTTTATATTTATATTTGGGGTATACAGAAATCAAATTTAGGACCTTGTGCTTGCCAGGTAGGTGCTGTGCCACTGAGCTATATCATCAACCCAAATCTACTATTTTGAATAAAGCACAGATGTACAAAGCTTAGAAAGACATGAAGACACAAGAATAGATAACATTCATCCTAGATTGTGTGCATGAGTCTTATCTGATGACCTAATAGCATTTCACACTCCCTAACCAAGACAAAAATGTTGAACATATTATGATACCATCTGCGGTACAAAAATTACTAAATCTGACTGAAAAATCCTAAGGAGGTCACATATGATAACAATTTACATCTGAATTAATACTTTGCTAATCACAGACATCTTCATTATAAATTTAATTGGCTTTAAGTATATATACAATCATTTAGGCTCTCTATGACTGGGCCTGACTATAAGAAAGAAGAACTGGTTTAAGCAATGATATTTGCTCAATTTCTGAAGTTTCTCTATGGACAAAACGGTTTTTTGGAACTGCCAGGAAAAAGTCCCATGAGATTCAGTACATGTAAAGATCAATATAAACCTATACATGTGTCCTTCCAGTACGCATGATGTATGGTTGACTCTCCCTAATTAAGGATTATAAGGATGCATCTTTTTTATCAAGATAGAAATGCCTGTTTCTGAAGTAGCTACAAGTAGCTTTCTTAATCTAGATTGTTCAAAATGAAATTATTGTTCTTTGGGAAAAGGTACTGAAAAACTCTTGTATTCAAGATCCATGGTGCTTGCCCTTCCCTAAGAAGCCCTAGAAGCTCCATGTCTCCAAAGTGCCCCCATGGAAAGAGATGACACCTTCTTTAGAAAACATCAACGCCTCAACAACCAGACTGACACACTGGGCTCAAGGCACACAAGAGTGGCCACCAGTCCCAGTCACAAGTGGATATAAGGACTCTCTTTAAATTTTTATTTGACAAACTCAGTAGTTGTTCAATGTGACCTTTCATAAAGGGAAAAAATAGAGCTTTTCTTCCTTTAGCAAAAACGACCTCAGAAAAGAGGCTAACCAAATGTTATGGCTAACCATAACATTTCCTTTTTTAATTGAATGCTACCTAAAAATTATCAGAAGAGGAGGTTATTATAATGATGCTTCTACACAGAAATATCTTAAAATAAACTACCTTCCTAAAATTACTTATCCTAGAGACCTCTTTAATGGTTATGGTTTCAAACAAAAAAAAATTGTGAATTGATCCTGGGTGAAATACAAGCTCAGAAGTTAACATAGACTTCTATATTTTAAAAAAAAGACTTCATTTTGAAAAGAATCTTGTTAAGAAGAAAAATTAATCTTTTTATTAAAACCACTGAGCAACCATTGTTATATATGCTGTAGGCAGAAAACAGATTTAAAGAAACAATCTTTTGTTATAAGTGTGACTGAAAATATTTTTCACTGTTTTTAAAGACTTCTAAAAAATTCTTAAGTCTACAGTCTGCTTGATGTTTATTTAATAACATTTTATAGTAGTTTGGCATATTAAGCCTGTTAATTTATAAAGAATGCTCCCCTCATTAGTGTAAATTAATGAGAATTTAGAATCATATGGAATGACCACTGTTGAACAGCTTCTGAGGCATAGGTCACTAAACATAAAAGAATACTAGGATATTTGTAATGCTTGAATATTTTTCAATTAAGCTGGTCTGGTCTCTAGCAAAAGTCACAGTACCTGAAAAATATACTCTGAAAGGATTTTTTTCTATTATTATGAATATATAACTTATTTGAGATTTCATTGTATTACATTAACTATTTAGTAAAATAAACATACATGCATGCACATATACATTTGGTGTGTCTGCATTTCCACTTACATGACTCCCTGATTTTCCAAAACTATAGATCACTATTGTGCATACAGAAATGTGACAAAGTGACTATTTTTGTAAGTGGGCATATTTATTTTTAGTATAGGTACAATACCTTTTGAGTATTTGAATTTTCTCACTGATCATGAGTGCTTACTCTTAAGTAACTGAGAAATTTTGAAACTACTAAGTGATACAGAGCCAGGATTGATAGTATGCATAGTCCATGTGTTTACTTTGCTCTTGCTTTCTAGCCTTTGTGGGCACCCTACTTACTACAAAATATTGGGGGAAGCTGCATAAATTACAAAACCTACTTCATATGCTCTTCAGCATAATCCTAAATTAATACAACCCTTCACTAATATCAATGCCATTCTAACAACACTGTCAATTTGGGGAAAAGCTTAAGGCCAAAGCCAATTTTTTTATACAATCAATTGATAATTTAAACAAATTTTATAAAGACAGTATTTTTCTGCCCTTCTAAAATGAGACAGCTATTTTATTGCTACAAGGCAATGCCACTTATGGGATCTTGAATCTCACTCAAATAATTTTTCTTCTGATTAAAAGAGAAATCTAAAATGAATATATGATTAGTTGTATATTCTCCTACATTAATCTTGGAAAAGACAGCATGGAATAATTTGAAAACCAGTTAGGTCTATTAGTTTCTTCCCTATTCTAGTGCCCAAGAGTTTTCATAGTGCTTGTTAGCTAAAACTTGTTAACATTTCTTATAGAAAAGCCAAGCAAAAAACCTACATGTAGAAGCAAAATATAGCACATGAGCTGTGAAAGCACAGTGCATGGGAACTTTTGAATTGCAACATACAAATTCATGAAAGAAATCTATTTGTAATTCGTCACATAACGATTACTGCCTATAAGTTCATTCTTTATATAAAAACTCAATGTTAGATGTATATAGTGCTAGAAGTAATTAACAGATTGCATAGATTTATATATATCTACATATGGCAAATTCTTTTGCCCAATTCCAAATAAAGTAGAATTTAAAAGACATTGGAAAAGGCAGAAAATTTCTAAAATGTAGCCTAACAAAATGATCTACTATACATATGTTCTTTCTTAAATGTTTGAAAATAGTAGAAGTATGGTCATTGTTTTTCCTGAGCATATAATAATTCACAGGGAGTTATTTCACAGATAGCAGTGAGGAAGTTGAGCAATCAGAACATTACATATTTTTCTTTCAGTTATACTATAAAGAAGTCCCTGAGCTACAGGAAGAGGGTGTTGGCCAATATGTAAAACACACTGCCCTTTTTAATCATAGTGTTCCCCCAAACTGCAAAGCGTAATGGACAGCCTGTGCTGCCCTGGTTGACCTGTGGCAGGCATCTCATTTAAATGAAATGACTCAGAACTTCTCTAGGTCTTTTGATGTAGTGAGGCACAGTAAGTCCTGCTAGTCGGGGTCTTGCTATGGAGGCTCTAATTGGAGAACCAAGGAAACAATCATTCAGTAGGACTTAAAGACAGCCATGGGGAAGAACCCAGCCAAGTGGACCCTTAAACATGTCAGAATGTGGAGTTACATAGAAGCACAGCTGAAAACAGGAGAAGGAAGGAAAGAGATGCAGGAAATACATAGTGAAAAACTCAAGTAAATATCTGGGCACACTAGAGGTAGGAACACTAGAGAGATCTGTTGTTCACATTCTTAGAGATGCTCTAGGTACAATCCCTTCTCCTTGAGGTCAGTTATAACGAAGTTCCACTTCTTTCCCCTGGGATCCTTCTCCCCTTAGGGCTTTACACTTCAGCTGTATTCTGCATGAATAAAAGAATCTTCCTTAAATATCTGTACACACAGATACACACACATCCAGCTATAAAGTGAATTCCAGGTAGAAGTAATTAAAGAAACCTGGGCTCGTGTCTGGGTTTGCTACCAAATACCTTTGTAATCTTGATGGAGTCCATTGTCTACTATAAGATTCCCACTTGTCTTAAATATAATTGGAGGGGAGAATAAAGACGACCTATTTCTAACATTTCAAGGAGAAAATAAAAAGACCACAGTACAGTATCATTGAGATTCATCCTCCTCCTTCGGCTAAAAAGCTATTCCTGAAAGAATACTACTAGGTTGTCTGAAAATAATTTATTTACAATATTCCATGAACTTCTCTTTATTCTTGTAAACAAAACTCATCATCCTAAAACACTCCAACTTGCATATCCCTCCTTAATTTGTCAATAATATATATACAAACTTGAGCATTAGACCAAGACTTAAATGAGTTAATCTGGAAAAATGATTTGGTTATCTCTCCTATGAGAAATATGAAAAACTGTGTTATCAAATTTTTATTCCCCAAAAATTTATTGTAAGAGGAGTTGTAAAGGTTTGTGTCAGGAATAATATAGTGCAAATAATAGTACATAATTATATAAATCTGAAACCACAGAATGATCAGTATAATAACAACACATATACTCAGTAAGACCCTGACACTATAATTTTATTTTTAAGAGCTTTACAGGTAGAGATATGCACAGTAATACAAATCAAATCCAAGTATCAAAATCATAATTCAATAGTATTTCCTACGAGCAAACACAATGAACCACGCCAGTGACAAACTGAAGTGAAGAGGCTTCAAAACATGACACTATAAAATGAAACATGCATGAAGAGTAATTTGCTGAAGCTAATTTTTTTAAATTGGTGCTGTATACAGCAACCTATAATATTTCATGTGGGATACAGTAATACTAGAAAATATTACTGCTTAACACATGCTGATTAGAAAGTAAAGTGAAATTGTATTTGCTCATGTAAATTTTAATCGGCCTTTACAGCTTAACCATCATAGTCACAGTTCCTAAAAATAGTAATAGAGACTACATTTATCTGTTCCCCTTCACTCTCTGTGGAGAAAGATATTTAAAATGAAAGTAATGAACTTTGGTTATACTGCAACAGTGCAGTTTCTTGGAAAGTCCAGAGAGGACCAGCATTAACCTAGATTTTGCCAACCCCATTCCATGTATTAAACTCACTCCCATTCTCCTACCCTATTATATCACTTAGGGATCAGAAACTGTATCAGCCTCCTATGGAATTAACCATTAATGGTACTTGCTCTCCCCATGCCACCATGGCATTTTGGCTCCATCACTTGAGGCCATCTTGTCCTTGCAAGTGAACTCTGTCTCATTTTCTCCCAAAACACAATGCACTTAGGCTTGGTTTTATCAAAGCTGACAGACCTCTAAAGATAATAGCTAAATGCTATAATTCAAAAATTATGATTACAGAAACAGTATTTAAAAAATTATTCCAAAAGTTTAATCAGGCACTTCTAGCTCGTCATCAGCTCCTATAGAGGACTCCATCATTCTACGGAGTGCCAGCAGTTCCATAAAACAGACCTACTAAGTTATAGTTTTTTATTTTCCTATGAAAGCTCAGAAGATGTCAAAGGGGAAGTGTCACGTTCTACTTCTAAGTCACTCATTTAATGAGTATGTCCTGGAGGAAAGCGAAAGCTTATACATAGTAGGAAATTCACATTTTCCTAATTTCAAAATTAATAGGCTAAAATAACTCACTGGCCTAACTTTTCACTACTTAGCACCACATCTAATCACTTAAAAACACAGAGAGGAACATAAAAATTGTAGTACTATCTTACACATTTTCTCTTGCTCTCTATATAGACAACACACATATATTTATGCACCCCTGTATAAAATATACATATATTCTCTCAATTTAAACGTATATTCTCTCTCTATCCTGTTGTTGATGGTGACAAAGAATAGATTGCCTAACCAACTTAAAAGGGAGGTATAAACTCCTACTCTTAGCAACCAATCCTGTTTCTGCCATCCATAAACCTATTTAAATCATCTTAAAAAGCTAAGCATAGATCCAGTCAGTATCATCTCATGGACAAAAACAGCCTCATGAAACACACAAAGGATTTTTATTGTTCATAATGAGAATGAATCCATCAGTTTATCACAAATCTTACCACTTATCTCGATTACTATTCCTCTCACAGATGGAGACACACAGTGCAGCAAGGACCACTTACCATTTGCATCAACAATGGTGATATTGGCAGAAGCACTGTCATTTCCTAATTTGCTGATCACTTTGCACATATATTCTCCAGAATCAGCCAGTGATGCTTTGTTGATGCGGAGTTCTGACTTCCTATAAGATCAGAACGAAAGTGATGTGAGTATATTTCACAGAAACGTATTATTCTGTACTTTCACAGTTCTCAAAATTTCCCCTCCCCACAAAACACATACCATGTTAAAACACAATTTATTATTATTTTTTGTTTTTGTCTTTTTCTTTTTTTATCTGTACCGGGGATCGAACTTACAACTGCCTGCTTGCAAGGCAGGCGCTTATGCTGCTGAGCTAAATCCCCAACCCCCACAATTTATTATTACATTAATCTGATTCTGTGATCAGATCAGAGTAAAAGTGAGACACATCACATTTAAATTATACCATAATATAATCTCAATTTTATCACAGATGAGTAATTTAAAGGAGTATTCTTCAATTTCTCTGCCTCCAGCACTAATCACATTATACCTTAGGATTTTGAACAAAATTGGTAAATTTTCTTTCCTCCTTACATCTAAATGTCAGGGCTCGAGTAGAGAAAAATTGTACAATATTTTCCTATCTCAAGTCTGGTAAGAGCCAGTACTTAATGAATTCTAGAACAGATAAAAAATGGTCTGCACTTTTCAATACAGTAATATCAGGAATAGTGTAAATTTTGTATGAAGAACATTCATCATTTCCAAAAGAAATGGAATTTGTCTTTCCTTGAGATTCTCATTGTTAGGAACACAGACATGAGTGGTTCTCAACTGGAATAAATATTCATGAAACAACGGCACGCACTTGTATACCATAAACATTAAATCAATATTCGCCATTTTTAAAAGCAGGGACAGCATTATGATTTCCTTTTGTCTGTTTTACTACTGCACAAAGCTGCAATTTAATCAGTCTCCAGGATATAGAATCTCAGAACACAAACCCTTTTTAAGGCATTAGTTATTGCTCTAGCTTGGTTATTGTTACTTCTTGGATTGTTGGGAAGGCAGCAGGGAGAAAAGAAGGTAGGAAAAAAAATATCAATCTTTCTGGTTTGTTTTTTAATTGCTACTATTTTATAGTCTTGTCATATAGTATTATTCAGGTAACATAAATTATTCCAAATTTAATTCTTATTTTGCTTTAGTCCAACAAACTGAATCACCCCAAATTGCCATGTAACCCTTATGGTCTCCATCCTAGTGGCTCGGTCATTTCTTTGTCCTTCAATGATTTCCACCCATTACAACCTCAACTGACCTTCAGAGCCAATTAGTTGATGAAGTCTTTCATGAACTCATAAGTGAGCTGCTGACTCACTTAATCTATGCTCGGACAACCTTGAGTACCTCTCTGATGAGCTTCTTTTTATTAGAATTTTTTCATTATGTCTCACCTCTCTTGACATACCTATTCTTCAGAGAAAGAGCCCATAACTCAAGCTTTGGTATCCTCACAGTGTCTAAGCCAGTAGTTTGTCCTGAGTGTGTCCTCAAACACTAACGCAAGAATGTATGAACAAAGAAGAATGTTGGACTATTCCCACTGAAGGACTCAGGAGGACCTAATGTTCCTAATGTAGGCTCAGGAAGGGGAGATACAATATGCAAAGGACAGAGACTGCCTTGAATGGAAACCAGGCATACGAATGGTCAAGCCAACATGTGAACTGAAAAATCCCCTCAGCTAGTCATGCACAGGCATGGCTGTGCACACCTGTAATTCCAGCACTCAGCAGACCGAGGCAGGAGTATTGCCATGAGTTTAAGACTAACCTAAGCTATACAATAGTACACAAACAAATAACAACAGCACAAACCAGCAACAGAAACAAACAAAAACAATTTTGAGGGAAAAATGAAGGGTTCCATTCTCAAAAAGTTTGGAAAACAAACCAAACTTTTCTTTTTTTTAATCCTATAGTGTTTCTGGAAGCTTTAATATGACATTAATAAGGGGATTTACTATTTAGTTTCTGTCAACTTTTTGACCATGGAATCCTTTTCATTCACTTGACATGTATCATGCATTTATTTTTAGAAAATAATGGTCCATGGAAAAAAATTAGTGAAAAAGTACATCTAATATAATTACAGCTTTGTTTATCTATGCAATGGAACCACTAGAAACTATTTAAGGAACACTCACATGCTAATCGGAACTTAGTAACAGAAAAACTTCCCTAAAGTGTATCACTGTAAGCCAAATAAATCGCTTTGATGGCAAGGGTCTTGTCAACTAGATATTAAGGGTTAGTAAAATGTAATGACTTATAAATTATAATCCAGCTTTTAAGTGTGGTTTTAGAGCATTCAAATGTAGTATTTTAATGAATTACCAGCTTTTCACTTGTCCCCACATGACATTACCTCCCTACTGATATGCTTGAAGGATGGAGAGATATAAAGCCATCACTACTGTAGTAGGATTATCCAGCCTAGAATATTACATAGTATGCTGAAAGAATTTTCATGTATGATACTGTTAACATAATGGATACAGTGGAAGAATACTGAAGTAGAAAATAATATCCCGATCTTTAAACACCAGAGAAGAGAGTACATTTCCAAAATAGGAAAACAGCAATTTTTCTTATTAATCCAAATTCTGAGGTAAGATTACTACAAGCATGTACAAAAGCTAAAGAATAACCTTTCTCTCTTATTATATAATCTGGGAACAATCATACATTTGTATGTACAGACCTCTTTCTTGACCCTGTGCAATTTAATATTTTAACTATTGAACTGGACTGAACTATAAGAAACACAGTAATCAAATTTTCAGTTAACATAATCATAAAAACATAGCCCTAAAACTAAAATTCCCTTAACAGGCCTGGGCAGTGCTTCCTGGAATACTATTCCAACAAATGTAATCAAATGCTATACTTTAAAGACAGACAGAGAAAGGGACAAAATAGTAGGGGGAGAAGAATGTTCAATGCAGAAGTAAACAATGCATTAAACAAGTTAAAGAGGTTTCTTTCTTTTGATTTTTCAAGAAAGGGTCTTTTTATGTAGTCCAGGCCTGAAGTTGCAATCTTCCTGCTTCAGCCTCCCAACTGCTAAACTGCAAGCCTGCACCACCACAGCCAATCTGTTAAGAGTTTCTTTTCAACAATACTTCTTAGTGGTTTTTATGCAAACCTAAAGCAAACATGACACATGGCCCCGGACTCATTCCTTTAGAAAATACCCTGGAGGATTCTGGCAGAGATCAACAATGGGCCAAAACTAAAGACTCCATTTAATCAAGACACGCTTAATAGATCCATTCAGGTACAAAAATCACTAGTCGCAATGCCAGGTGTGGTGCCACACACTTGTAATTCCAGCACTCTGACAGGTCGAGGCAAGAGGATCTCATGCTTGAGTCCAGCCTGGGCAACTTAATGACATACTGAGACATTTTCTCAAAGTAAAAATTTAAAAGACCTGGTGTGACTTCTGGAATTAATTTCCAGACTGTGCCTACACACAAAAAAATCAGTGTGCAAATACAGGAGGGAAGAGAAATGCCCTGACTGTAAGATAGAGAGAAGAAAGTGTTTCACACAGCCACGTGTTTCACAGCCATGTTTAAAGACTACTTTTTAAAAACAAAAGAGGAAGAAAAAAAGAAACTTATGCCTTATCGTGCCAAATTAATATAAAGTAGAACATATTTGAAATGGGATAAAAGTCCCAGTTGACCACTTGCTGAATTACACCTAGAATTATTATTGTTGAAGTAATACTTTATGAGAAATGTCCACAATTAGAGCACCTTAGAAGAAGGTGATCAGAACAGAACAGGGCCACAAATCTTAACAAGAGAGAATTCTGTTAGAGACACAAGGGTCCCACTGACAAGTAACGATAGCTGAAGAATGAATATTTAACTGTGTTTTCTATCATCTGGAAAAGGAAATTACTTGGGGCTGCCAAGTCGTTTACAACAACTAAGTCTTACAAGAAAGAGAATGGAGAACCAAGCCTCGTTGGGAAAAAAAGATATTTTTCTGGTGATGCTATAAAAAAGAACTTTTCAAGCATTCAGAGATGGACTGTGTGTCTTGTGAAGAGTTAGGTTTTCTCCTTGGAAAGACTCAAGTCTGGATAACCACCTGCCAAGCACATTCTTACAAGAATGTCTATGCAGAGAAAGATTAAATTAGATTGATGCTTTTAACTATTTTTGCAACAAAATTTTGTTTTAAAATGAAAGCTTAAATCAAAGCCTCATATTCAAAAATATCATAGAGAAAATGTTCAAGTCAAAGTGGTTGGCAACGTTGTTTGCAATTCAATAGCAATTTAGGATTCTCCAGGGGCATAACTGGAAAATCAATTATCTAGTTGATCGTTAAGGCCCCTATGAACTGAAAGGATGCATTTAAATGTGAGGTCCTGCAATCTTTGTGCCCCAGAATAGGGAGAGAACGTAGTGAAGAGTAGAAAAAGCCAAACCTTTCTTTAAAATTGAAAACTGCAAAAAGACCTGCAGTTTTGATAAGCACGGACATACGACCATTTTTCTCTCTTTACTAGCTACACTGTCTACAGGAAGTTAATTTGGAAAAGTTCCTGAAATCCTTCCCCAGCATAAAGGTAACTTTCTGCTGTTTCACTGATAAATTTCCTACGGACCAAGGAAAGGTCAGGGCACCAATGGAGTTCATTTTCTACAGGTACTCAATGAGTTAATTCACATAAACTGTGTAAAATAATACATGTAATAGTTATTAGTCCCAGTAAACTTTAGCTGTTATTATAATTATATTCTAATAGAATAATTATATTCTAAGTCTTGAAGGATTTGGATTTTTGTAAGTATGCATCTTTTTGGAATAAACATAAATGGATTTATAAAGTTATAAATATTTTTTCTATCCAAATGAAAATTATGTTTTTTTTTTCCTTTTTAGTAAATGTTCACTTATTAATTCAAGGTACCAATAATTACAATGTAATTTTTCTTATTGACCTTGATACTTCCAATGCACCTTACAGGCTAATGCAACTCAAATGTACGCAAAGACCATCTCAGTCTGCACAACTCTGTTCCACTGATCCCCGAGGAATTTTAGGGACTGGGCTTGTGTTCATGAATTTAATGCTGCTTCTGATCCTGCCAATCTGCTAATTTTGAGAAGAGCACAAACAGGAAAGAGGAACTTCCTAGGCACCAAAAGGAGGCACCGTACCCAATGCCCCACATAAACCACAAGAAATGGCCATTACATAGGAAACTTGAGACGTCTTTTCATATAAAGTTCAAGTGGTCTGTCAGAGCTACTCAGTGAATAAGAAAAGGGAATGTAAATGAACTTTCTCTATTTTAGAGATAAAACTGTAACCACTGAAAACACATACATGCAAAAAAATGTTCTAAATCTGAACAAATCAGTTAGAACTAATTTTAAACAAAATTAAAATATGACAGAGCTGAAATGAAGAGATGTGACTAAATTAAGGACATCCAAAATTAAGGACCTAAAAACAGCAGGAAGTCAGCCTTTCATTAGGATATACACAGAACATAAATTTAAATGAAGTCAATCTGACAGCCCCAAAGTACTTCAGTTTTCTTGACAGAAATCATCTACCAAACAAAGAAAATGAGAACAAAGAGATATGTACACATTATATACGAGTGGTTTCCATTTCTTTTAAATTGGTCCCACACATTGCTTAGCCAAATAAAATAAACAAAGGCTCAAATGTGAATTCACAAATCATAGGAAAACATGCAAGAATGTAGCTTATTAGTAGGGGCGGGATAAACAGGGTTAAGAGTATATACAATAATATAAATTGCATATTGATGTAAAATCTTTTCATAACACTAAAGGATTAGAAGGAAATTTTGACTGCTATGTGCAATCTAGATTATAAAATGGGAAAAAGAAGCCACGACTAAAAGTTGGAAATGAGTCAACATTTTAATTAAAGAGATTCCAAGGAAAATCCTAAACCTCATGCTAAAATTCACCTCTGATTGCTTGATCACAATCTAAGATAAAGTGTAAGTTAAGTAACTAACAAACCACTGAAAAACATGAATATTGCCATCTGAATACCTAAGTATAGAGCAAGTATTAATATGCACATGAACCTGAACAGCAAGAATCATTTTATTTAGACCGTACCCTAGGCCGGAGCAGGTCTTTGGCCTTATATTCTGGCTTTATATAATAAAAGTAGTTGTTAAATGACAAGCTTTCGAGTCAGATCTATTACAAATCTAACTCTACCATCATTATTATCAATTGGAAAAAAGCTTCTTTCATTCTGGGGATATTAATTACATTAAAACATTTGTCTAATAATATTGTTCTACTTATATTTACAGGATAACTTAAAATAATAGAGTACCTTTCAAATGTTAAGTTTAGATTCACTTTGGATCCTTTAAAATTAACTAAAAAAAATGATAATGCTATTTTTTAAAGGGACAACCTTATCATTTTTTAAATTTTTAAAAAATTCTTTTTGTCCTCTTGAGACAGGGTCTCACTAATGCAGTTCAGGCTGGCTACTTTGTAGCCTCGGCTGATCTCAGACTCGCAATGATCCTCTTGCCTCAGCCTCCCGAATGCTGGGATTATAGGAGTACACCTCCAAGCCCAGCAAAAAATAGACAACTTTAGAAATTAAAAAATACCCAACACTGAAAATTGGTAAACTGATCACTTATGAAGCAGCAGCTGCTCATTCTACACAAAATGTGAGTTATTTTTATATCAAAGATGTTAAATGTTTTGCCAAGAGAAATTCACTGGCATATAACTTGAATAAAACTTTCCCCATTTAATTATTTCCAGCAAAGATATGTTTTAAAAGAAATGATTTTTGAATCTTGGTCTTTCTGGCTTCCATTAATATGTAGACAGTGCTGTTAACTGTCTGAGCCTTGGGAGTCAATGTGAAAATGTTTCCCTGCATACTGATGATGCTTTCACATGTCACCAAAGCCACGTAACAAACTCTCTCTTTAATTACACCTGTGTCCTTTCAAAAACATGATCATAAGATTCAGGTCAATTTTTCTTTATGCCTTTTTATTCTTCATCTACCCAAATTCATTTGCTGTTGCCCACAAATCACGAGCCCAAATCTCCATAGCCTTCAGCAGCTGGCTGCTACTCCTTTGGCTGAGATCTCTCTTCCCTACCAGCCTCTTCCTCAGCTCTAATGGCGTGATTCAGCAGATGAGCTATAATGCCTGTTTTATACAGGACTGGGCTAGGTAAACTCTATACAATCTTAAGACCACCAGAGAACAGATATAATGCCCTGTACCTCCTCTTCGATTTCTCCACATTTCTGACATAAAGCCTATATGATCACTAAGACTTTACTAATACCATTTTTTTTCCTTAAAAGAGTTAAAACCATCATATTACAGGATACGTGCATATCCATGTTACAGCAGCACAATTTATAATAGCTATATCTTCAAAATAGTATATGTCCATCAGCCAATGAACAAAATGTATTTATATTGATATTTTACAGCCATATAGCAGTAAGTGAGATGTTGCCCTGCATGTTTAGTAACTTAGATTCTAATTTGTCTTACTGATGAGAAAACAAACACCAAAATCTACTTAGTCTAGAATCTACAAGGAGTGTTTGTCCTGTCAATCTTCTGTACCAAGAATCATGCTTAACTCTTCAGATCATTCACTCTATCCTTTCCTCTCTACATTCGCATTATTCAGTATGGATGGTCACCATTTTAAAGAATGAATGCAAAATGAAGGAATTAAAAAAAATAAATCTACGGTTCTAGTTGAATTTTTTAACTACTTGTGTGACTTTAGACAAAGCACACTTTTGACTCTCAATTTGTGGATGTGTGACATTAATGTCTATTTTATGCTTTTGAAGCACCACCTGCTGCAGAAAGTGACACCCCCTCTTTTTTGGTCTTCATTATACTGTACTTCCAAATCAACAGATCCTGCTGACAGAACCTATTACTAGCAAGCAGTATACTTAATTAGACCATGGGAACTAAGATAAAATCCCTAATTATACTTATCAGAGCAATTAAACACTGGTAAGATTCAATTAAGTTCTCATTAAAATCATTTGTTTTCACTTGCTAATGAATATATGAGAACTTTGTAGTAGCTCTTCTGTAAAATCAAAGGCTAGGAAAGGACCTTTCTTTTGCTGTTCCTGTGATCATTCCCGGGTATTCCCTGGAGCCCTCAGAGGGTGAGTGGAGGAAGTATCTGAACCTGGAACCATTGTAGCACGTGTGGTACTCACTAAAGAACTGTTCAGTGGAAGTCCTACATATTAGTATTTATTTCTTCCTAGAGTGAAAACTGTGTTTTAACATTTGATGAAATAATTCTTAAATATGGAGATAAGTAATAAATAATGCAGGGATAATAAAGAAGCATCACTTAGATCTATAGCACACGTACTAAGTTGTCACAGGGAGTCCATGAAGCCCTTCTTAATACAGGTGTCCTCAACAGGTCTTGTTACCCAAGACCATCTGATGGTCTATTACAGTGGTGCTATTACAGTGATAGAACTCTTGAACATTTTCACTAGATACAGTCTTTTGTATTAACCCCTTGTTTGAAAATAAACCGAACTGATTACATTCCAATATTTTGATAAATCTAGGTATTTATTGAGCTTTATAATGAAGTCAGGAGTTTTGTAAGGTAGCGTACTTTAAACACCACTTATCAGATTTTTAAAAATATGCTGAAATTTTGGATCTATGACCATTCCAACAGCTGCCACTAATGCTATCTTCCTTCATCACTTTCATTTCCCCCAATATCCTAGAGTATCCATTCTTTCCTTTCTTGACCCAAAAGTTGTAAAAATCACAAACTCCAGCTTCTCACAATTTCTAGCCATTGTATTATGAAAGCTCTTTTCATTTACAGCATATCATGCATTTCAATAGTAAATGTATTAGGTTCTAAATGTTATTTTTTTTATCACCCTATCGATAAGCACAGATTGTGCTACTGTATGCATCATACTTACCCTGGCTTTTTTTGTATCTTGATGTTTTGTGGTTTGTTTTTTCGGTTTAACTCATTCCCATTCTTGAACCACTTGAACTTAAGAGCGGAGTATTCAGAACTGGTTTCACACCGAAGCACTAGTTTGGAGCCTGCCGCTGACTCTTGACTTTTCATCTCTTTCAACCGGGGAGGCAAGGCTAAAAAACATAAGAGACAGCAAAAAGTTCCGATAAATAAGCAGTCTTTCAACAAAAGACATTATTTTTCCATGGGCCTGATCAAGTCCAAAAGGTTTTACTAAACAAGAGATAAAAAAAATTTTAAATAAGTGAGCCAATATGGAACTCAAGTTGGAGAAAAATGAAACGCCCAAATAACATACTCTGGAAAAAAAAAAAAGAAAGAAAGCCGACATTATAAGATTATTCCTCCAAAAATCTAGTTTCTTCCTCAATCTTTACATTAAATTTAAAGTCTTTTTATTACATTTATAATCCTTATATAAGAATCTTATAATTTGGTAGTTTCAAAAAGAAACCCTATGCTCAAAGAGAATATGTAACTGGGCATTATTTTCAAAGCATTTTCATGTCCCAAATAATACTTCATCCCAGTCCTTCTGAACAGGAAATAGCACACTCATTTTTTAAGTTGATAAGTTTAATTTCAGAGATCAGTGATTGATTTATCCAGAGTGACACAGTTTGTGGATATTGGGAATTTGGGCTCACTTCACCAACTAATCATCAGATATCCATCCCTACCCCGAAGAAAACCAATTAAATCTTAACATTAGATCCTTTATTCAAGTCTGAAATTCTTATGCAACATCATTTTTATTGGACCTATAACTGCTATCCCCAAAACAATGAATGACCACTCCAAATGACCACTGAAGCCTCACCTGATGGGATCCAGATCTCTAAGTGTTCCTCACAGGAAAAAAGGATCTAACTTGCACATTACCTTGCATAATACATTACATTAAACATGCAAGTACCATCCTTAAGGTATGCTTAACTGCTTAAAAGAATAACAGCTTAACATATATATTCTGCTGGAATATTTAAGGATAAAGTATTATGTGAGATTTGTTCCAAAATAATATGATAGCAGTATATGAGTAGGCACAAATATTAAACAAAACTACCAAGAAGTTGAGAATCACAGAAGTTAAGCAGTAGGTACATATATTGATTTGTTACATACAATATGTCTGAGTTTTTTCATAATAAAAAGATTTTAAAAATAAAATGGTAGATGACTTCATTTTTTCTTTCACACACAATTTCACTTAATATTCACAGAACTTGAGACCTTAACTCTCAGTTTCTGCTGATACTCAGAAAAGCCAACACTATAGGTCTACTTCAGCCCCAGATCAGGAATTAAAAGGAAATCCCAGAAAACAAACCCAGGCAAATGAGACTATACCTCACTGATTCAGTGCATAATTAGACACTGGGTAAGAACGGAGACTCCAAGGACAGCAATTAAAGCCACCAAAGACATGAACAGGAAACAGAATACCTTGCCTAGTCAGGGTATTTGTTTTTCTACAACTCTGCCTTCCCAAGCAAAACCAAAAACTGTCAGGAATAAGTATATGCATGACAGGGAAAAAAAATCACTCCAACACTGTGATATTGTAGCAGTATTCCTATATTCCTGTAATTATGTAACCCCTTCTTATTTATATGGGGTTTGGAGATGAAGTAAAGCAAACCCTTGAAATGGTAGACACATGGGCACATTAGAAAATTTTCTGAAACTTGGGCTGGGGTAACTTGAAATTAATACTTACTTTCTGAGCATTTTCATTAAATTCTCCTTTTCAAGATGTGAATCATGAATATCAGTTTTAGAGGTTGTAAAAACAAACTAAATTCTTTTCTATCTGAAATAATGTCTAAATGTTTCTAGTAACACCTCGAGATCATTTTTAATATTGTGAGCTGGGGAAGAGTGGAAGAAATGAATACAGTGGAGCTCACCTACCAAAGAAATTGCATATATTGAGAAAAATAAATCGCTCTGTTTCGTGTATGGAATAAAAGAATCAGATTGGACTTTTCTACTGGATTTTGCATTTTCACTTGAAACAATATTCTCTAAGTTTATCCCTTGCCAGTAAGCAAAATGTCCTACAAACAGTATCTCAGATAGCCTTAAATCTTAATAAGCACTATGTTTCCTCATCTACCAATAAGTAGGTTTGTCAAAATGTGACCATAAACCGACCAGACTTTTTGTCTTACTTACACAATCTATGATGAAATTATTTTATTTTTCTGCCTTTTATTCCTTCCTTACCTCACATCCCTTTCTCTCCTCTCTCCTCCTCCTCTCTTCATTTATTTATTCCCTATGTTTTCAATAAATAATCTTGACTTAAATATGAGGACACAATCAAATTCAAATTGAAAGATCCTTTATAATACTAGTCTAAGCTCTAAAAATGTCAATGTCATGAACAACAAAAGAGGATAATGAAACTGATCCAGATCAATGAGACCTATCAAACGAATACAATCAATGTGAAATACTGATTGGCTCCTGCTTCAGGGATAAAACAGTTATGAACAACATTACTGGGACTATTGAGATACTGTGAATAAACATATTAAAGCAAAATTAAATTTCTCTAGGTGCAATTCTTGTATTGCAGTGTTCAGAAGCATCTGCTTGCTTTAGGAGATATCTGCTGATGTATTCAAGGATGAAATGCCATGATGTCTTCAAATACACTTCAGATAACTAAGCAAATAGGAAATGGACACAAGCATATGCACATAAATACACAAGCAAAGAAAATTTAAAACTTCCTATCAGTGCTGATGATCTTTTCCAGGGCCACATGCATGCTATGCAAGTGTACAACAGCAGCCCACACTACATACTTTCAAATCTTGGTTAAGCTCATAGGTATAAATGATGTTTGTTCAACTACTTGAGTTTATCAAATAACAACTTAATTAATAATTTAATTATTAATTTTTAATTATTATTAATTTAATAACAAAATGCACTGATGCCATTTAATTCTGTGAGTTGTGCGGCACTGAAACCTTCACATCATCCACCAGGTTGGGAGAAAACTGCTCATCTGGCATGTCAGTATCTGTCCTGTTCTTCTGGGGTTCACATGCAAAGACTGAGAGGGGCCATCCCTCCTCCTAAGGGATGATTTATCATGAAATGAGGCAGAAACCCTCAGATATGAGGTTTTAGTTGAAACATTTCCACTCATTTCCTGACATACTTGTAGACAGTTCCAAATCCATCAGAACAAAGTTTCCGGTACTTTCTTGATCTTATCCCCAGAAGCCTATGTGTAATGACGTCCACAATGTCCCTTCTGTATTCCCTATGATGTGGGATGACCTTTTACATGAGGATGCCTATCTCGGTAGGGATCAGCTCTTTTAAGAAGTGAGCTCGGAATCCGCCATAGCGCTCTGCTATCTGTGGGACCTGATAGGAAGTACCATTCGAAGTTCCTTGCTCACTGCTGTCAGAGCCCAAATTCAAGCATGCAGGAAGCCCAGCAACAATCTAAATCTTCCTTTATTGTTTTTGATAGCGGCACTACTGGCATAGCCCTATTTCACAGATTCTATATAAAAATGAAAACTAATTTTTCAGCCCACATAGTTTGTGTTTCTCTCATCTATACATATCAAGACAATTTTCAGTGACGTAAACTGTCTTTTATAAGGGGTTATAAAGAAACAGTAATTGTTAATGGAATACATTTTAAATATAAGCAACTTTCTCAGACATAAGGTATATTCATATAATATAACTTTATGAATTTTACTTAAAAAGCAAAATAAAACCAACTACTCCACAGGCACAACTTTGTAAGCCTAGGAAATGTTCCTATAAAAGACGCTCATATTTTTAACTATTTGGATCTTAAAACCACAAAAACAGTTCCTGTCTTTCAATTCCTACTCTAAGAGTAAATGTTCTGTTCATTTAAAATTGGGCAGAAGCAAACCCAATGTTTATTCAAATGCAGGCGGTGTTCAGAGACTCTTCGGCATGATTTAATTATATCTGGCCTGACAAAGGTCACAATTTTGTTTTCAACATGTTTCCCAAGAGGTGGTAATTCCATACCCTGCAACAATTTAATGATAGAGTTTTAAGCCGACTCTGCCTGAGTTTATTTCCAACTTGTCTGACATTAATATGAACATATCTACACCCTTAGAAATCCATAAACAAAGACTGACAGTAAAGAGTGCAAAAATAGCAGGCTTTTAGAATAGAAAATCAAAAAACCACAGAGAATTTCACTTATTTTGCACTTATTACTTTTTTTTAGTATGTATTTTTACTGGATTTAAATTTTGAAGCATTTAAAAAGATTACAAATACACTCTTTTGACTCTAACTCAGTATAAGCCGATATGCTAGGCATGCAGTATTTTATGTCTACGTTCATATTCCTGCTTTTCATATTTGACATCATACAAAATAGAAAAATATGGCTATAACCAAAAAATATTTTACATTCTGACCACACAAAAATATAGGCAGTATGTTCATTTATTGCAATAATTTACTCAGTAGGTAAATATCTGTGCTAAAGGCAAAATGAATTTTCAAAAGGGGGGGGTAATGCAACAGAGAAGTTGTTATTTCCGTCCTCTGAAAAATATGACAGTGCAAAGTAAGCTCATCTCATCATTCCCTGTGTTTGCACAATGAATCTGAAGAAATTCAACCGGAAGCTTGCAAAATACTATTTATCAAATGACAGTAGCCTTTCTGCTATGATTCCAAAGGAGTCTTCCCTGCATAAAACCTTTGGTAAAAGCTCACACAGCATATGTCAGTGAAAACTGATGACAATTATGTCAAAGAAATTAAATGAATATTATTAATAAATTCTCTGTAAAGTATATCCTTTTGTTGAATAATAAGAAATATGCAAACTACTAAAGAGAGTCTCTAACATTCTTCCATGCGATTTCTCCCTGACTGCGCTCTCTCACAGAGAACATTATGGTCACACAGGAGTGGATAAAGTTTATGCTTTGCCATCTGTTCTTTTCTGAGCTGCACTCACAAACATGGCTATAAAAGGAAAATTTTTCCTCATCAGATTAAAATGTATAAATATAACTATGTAAAAGGCAGCAGAATCTAGTGACAAGAGTATTTCAGAACACACCTAGGTTTTAAT